TGTGTGTGTGGCCAGCTCAGCCCACCAGGGGGTGGGGCTGGCTGGCATGTGGTACTGGGGGATTGAACCGTGGTCCCTGTGCTTTGCTAAGCTTGTTCTAAGTAGGTGCTTTAGACCATTGAGCCATCTCACCAGACCGGCTCCCCCTTATCTTTAGGGGAGTTTCATAAAGGAAAATGGAGAGAGGAGGTAATGTTCACTATGGCCAGTATCTTTCCAGCATTACCATGGGAACAATCCCCAGGGGTGTCACCATGGAAATTAGCCCTGGAGCTTGAAGTTCAGGCTCTACCAAATGCTTACTGCGGGTTGAACAGGTTGGTCATCTTTGGGACCCTGGTCTTTGACCACCCTAACATCAGTTGGTGCACATGATGGAAAGCTGGCACCTTTCCTGCACAAATGGGCTAGGAGAGGACAAAGACGCTTGGAGTGGGTTAAAGGAGAAGAAGGAACCCAGACTGTGTGTCTTTCGGGAGAGGCCCTCTAGAGAAGGCTGTGAGGGTGCTGAGCCTGCCGGGCCAGGAGAGGTCTGTAGAGGCCTTCTAAACAGAGGAGACTCCTGGCATATAGAGCTGATGGAACAGTTCTCACGCCTGAGCCTGCAGGATATGTCAGTACCTGGAGGTCAGAAGGATGAGGGAGGCCAAAAGGATGGGTGGAAGAATTGCATACTTCTGAAAAAGGGATTGAGTTTGGAAAAAAGGAGTGATGGAACTCTTTAGTTCTGTCCAGAAACACTTGAAGAAATGTCGTGCATGCACGCGCATGTGTGTTATGTGTGTTGGGAGATAAAATGAAGGAGAAAAAATAAAAACCATGGTGAGAATCTTTGCACCAGAAATATTTCCCTTTTCAGGCTGGCCAGATAGCTCAGTGGATTAAAGCACCTGCTTAGGCAGACATAGGGACCGGGGTTCGATCCCTGGTGTGCCATGTGCTGGATCCTGGGGCCTGCTGAGACAGCGATTGAGACTGGGCGCGGTGGGGTGTGCCTGTAATTCCAGGATTTGGGAGGCTGAAAACAGGAGGATCACTACAAATCTGATCTGTGTATGAGACCCTGAAGACCCTGTACTAAATACATTTTTTTTAAAAAAAAAAAAAAGGAAGCAGGGAGATGGCTCAGTGGAATAAGCGCTTCCTTGGCAAGTGCAAGGGTCTGAGTTCAATCCCTGGTTCCACAAAAAAAAGATGGAAAGATTTCTCTTTTTGAAAGTGTGAAAAATACCATCTCTGCTTTTTTTTTTTTTTTTTGGTATCAGAGATTGAACTCACGACCTTGTGCTTGTCAGGCAGTTGCTTATCTTGCTGAGCTATCTCCCCAGCCCTTATGATGAGACTCTTATGCTGGTTTACATTGCAGTTCACTGATACTTTGGGTGTGGTTCTGGAATCATATTGCTTGGGTTAAAATTGTGCTGTACTATTTCTCAGCTGCGAGACTGTGGGCAAGCTAACTGACCTCTCTGAGCCTCAGTTTCCTTATTGATAAATGGGAATAAGAGTTCCCACCTCCTAGATAGTGCATGTAAACTGCTTAGCACAATGACAGGCACAATTTCAGCTACTCAGCAGGCTGACACAGAAGGATCACAAGTTCAAGGCCAGACTGAGCAACTCAGTGAGACTCTGTCCCAAAAACAAAAGGACTGGGACATAGTTCACTGGTGGAGAGTTTGCCTAGCATACATGAGGCTCTTGGTTCAGCATCCAGTGCTGAAAAAAAATTAGATGATTTCACTATTTTATATGCTGTCTCCCCACAAGTTAAAAATTGGGAAGTGGGTGCCATGTT